GCGGGAGGCAACAGAACCACCACTTCCTCCATTATGTTTTCCCATATATTTATACGCAATAAAGCAGCCATTTATAACTCCATTCTAAATGTTTTACGAATTATTAATGATAAAGATGCAAAAATATAATTAATATATTATTAGCAAAATATTCAAACCAACCAGGTTAACGTCCACGACTTTTTCTACCCCAACTCCTGCATTATTTATCAAAATATTTACGTTTCCAAATGTTTCTTTAGTTTTCTGGTAAGTGGCTACAGTTCAAACGCATAAAACGAAGGTTAATATTATCATATTTTTACAATTATTTATTGTATTTTAATTGTTTAATATCTAATTAAATTTTTCTGAAATCAAATCCGAATTGTATCATAAAAACAAAAATTTTTAATTTCTTTCAAATACAAACCTTCAAACTCTTCGAATGACGAGACGTCGCATTTCAAGAAAATACAACTTGTTTTCCCGAAAACTTTTTGCAATTCATCCACCGTTTTGTTTCCAATTTCATCGTTTACATCCGAACAACAAACCTAAATTGAAGAACGAGTGTGAAATATTGCAAGATATTGTATTTCTGCACTTAGTGTTCATCCCATAAAGTAATAAAAAGAATGCATGCAATATAGAATAGTAAAAAAAAAAATACAATAATTATAGTATAGGTACAGTACTTTCTGGTTTTCGTTTGGAAATTACTGATTTGTCTTTTGATAGGTCGATTCTTACAACGCAATATTGTGGCATTTTGTTACAACCCTACGTTACAGATGATCTCACCAGTGAGATCTAATATCGGGGTATTATTGCAGACGGAAAAATAATTATTTTAACTTAAAATTAATCAAAACGATTCTAAAAAGGTTCCGTACCCTGCGCCTATCTGCGACAGCATCTCCACAGCTATCTCCATCTCTCATATTAATTTCTATTTAAGGCCATACGGCCGATCGGTGAAGATGGCAGCCTACTACTTTAGTGAACCGGAAATTAATTCAGACGGGTCAAAAATAATAGGAAATTTTCTGAGGGTAGTTCGTCCTGGATATGTCGTGTTCTCACTACCCGGTCGAAACCGTGATGGATATCATTAAACAGGATCCTTTAATGCCAACAGGGTGTAAAGAGTAGGAAATGGAAATCAAGATTGTGTATGTTTTGATCAGCATAAACGTATATATCCTTTTTTTTTTGTTTTTTTTTAAATAATTTTTCATGAAACAGATGGAAATTTGCTCATGTGTCCTGTTTAGTATAAACGGGAAATATTTAACAAAATCGTTAACCTTCGATTTTTGAACATGACAGATTGATTAATTACCGTATTTTTCGCCGTATAAGACGCACCGGCATATAAGACGCACCCAATTTTAAAGGAGGCAAATTCAGAAAAAAAAAGATTATGAACCAAATTCTGTAGTAAAATATTTTATATCAACTGTATAAAGTTAACAGCAGTTAAGAAAAATTTTATGTCAACCATGTAACATACTAAGAGCTATCTTTACTATCATAAACAGTCTCTTCTGCTTTGACATCTTGATGGGGTGGTATGAAATATGATATATTTCATTCAGATATACCATACTACATATATCACTGCTATTAGCTGAGCGCAGAGACGAGTGCCTTCACCCGCTCCCGTGCTGGCTTACGAGACTCTAAAAAGTGCACAAAGCCAGCGCGGGAGAGAGCGAAGGCACGTGCCTCTTCGCCCAGCCAATCGCAGCGCGAGGCAAAGACCGCACAAAGCCAGTGCGAGGCAGAGCGGAGCTTCCTGGTATCAGACGGCGCCAAGAGGTGGAAGGGAACGGAGTGGCCGAGTATTCCTGCGGTTATGTATGTATGCAGAAGTGGAGGGGCAGCGGAGGGCCATGGTGGGCTTTTGTATTTGCCGTATAAGACGCAGGCACTTTTTTCCCCCCGATTTTGGAGAGAAAAAGTGCGTCTTATACGGCGAAAAATACGGTAAATGGAAGAACCAGTACTGTAAGTACTAGCCACAATTAAGCCCATTACTGATAGGTCCGTTCGCAATGGGCCAGCATGTCTCGACCCGTGATTACACTTTTGAGATTACAAGTCTATCGATTTATCGGACTGCAAATCAAATTACATTTCAATATGTAGAATATGATATAAAATTTTATTATTGTTTGTTTGTGTTTTCCATATACATTTTTTGATTCTCGTTTCTCATGCCTGCCAGTGGCCGAGTAGACAAAAATCACTGAAAACTAATAGTTGGTCACGGGTCTGACCAACGGACTGGCCACGCGGAGTTTCCTGGGTTTTCTTCACGTGCCAAACACCTAAGTATCGACTAATTTCCCCTAGAAAGTCCTCCTGGGAGGCACTCCCTTTAATGGATCGCTCATGTCAAGGGGAGTGCCTCCCTGAAAGATTGTGTTGCGCTGCCCCGTGCTTATCAATTCCGAAGGTCATTGTGTCGCATTGCCTTATTCCATCAATCCTACTCAGTGGCGTAGCATAGTGAGGGCGGCCCGCCCCGGGCGGTTCTTTTTAGGGGGCGGCAAAATTTCACAATAAATAATAATAATATCTTGTAAGAATTTGAACCATTTCATTTTATATTTTTGTCGCACCTACGATTCGGACCGATTGAAATGAGCACGGAATTTTTCATTACGTATTCTGTGACAAAACTGAATTTTAGTCTTTTAAATTGAGATACCTAAATAAGTGGGCGGCGAAATTTTTCTCCACCCCGGGCGGCTGACACCCACGCTACGCCACTGCGATTATTATAAATAATAAAGCTGTAAACGACATTCGATTATTTGTTTTTCACTAGACTCGCTATAAATCATCCATCAAGTAAATATGTTTAGGATCCTCTCGAAAGTATGTTGAATATGGAGCGAGTCAGAGAGACACAGGTTATTCATGCCCGGCATAAGGGTTATTTTGGGGTCGCTCTGGGAGACCCAGGATAGAATCCGGACGAGTCAAGGAATCCCCAGGAATTTTTCGGATGTGGTCCGTTCGGATATGTCGGGCCCCGGCCCTCACCACCCGGTCGCCCCATTGTGGGCCTGGCCGAACCCATAATGGGCCTGCTATAAGAGGCCTTCTTAGTGCCCACAAGGCGGAGAGAGTATAAAAAAAAAGTATGGTCCGTGGGGCCAGTGACAGACCGTGAGCGCTTGATAAGTAATCCGCGGGTTAGTTTAATCTAATCATTCTTCTAAGTCAAAATTATTTGTTGTTTAACCAGAGGAAAAGATTATTTTATGTACCACTTTGTAATGTTTGTTCATTCTAATTTACATGTATAGCAAAATGATAATGCATATTCTTCAGTGGTATTTTATTACTTCGATATCCGACATGTTTATCCAATCTATTTTTGAGTAAAAAACGTCAGAGTAAACAAAGCGCACAAAATCTATATTTTTAATACATTTTTGAACTGAGAGAACAATTTTCCAAGTATGTATTAAAAAAAAAAGAAAAAATGATTTATAATAATGAAATGTTTGGCATAGCAGAATTAGGAGGAAAATATTCGAAGTAGAAAGACTAAAAATTTCAAGGTGACTTGCAATCTTAGATTCGTACAATTCATTAGTAATTTACATCATCTTTCTTTCAAAAATTATCAAAATATCGATTATGGAATTCAAAAGTTGCATATATATCTCTGTCTGGCGAAATAGAGAAAGTTAAATTACAAATAATACATAAAGAACAAAAAAAGTCATGTTCAGAATTTTATCATTTATAAATGTTGACTCATGTCTAAAAAACAAACGTAATTGTTATTTATCCGAGTTTCAAAACTTGCTAATTCATTCAAAGAATTCGCATTGCATCATAATGGAGTGAGTAACTATATTTTGTGTCAGTCTGTTTGCAAAATATTTATTATCCAAGAAAGTTTCAGACATTTCTTATTCCGTTTATCTTCTAGTTTATAGACATTAAATGAAAATTGTGAGAATGCGAGTCACAATAAAGAAATACAACCAAGTCCACATTACAGACAATTGAAACAATTCACGTTGCTTCTCGTAGACTTTTGACACACTTAAGTTTCTAAATTATTCAGAAGGGGAAATGGATGAAAATTGGAAGTTTGTTCCAAAAATCAACCACATCAGGTGCCATTATATTTCAAAATTTAAAAAAATGGACTTTTTTAAACTATATGCTTCAATTATTTTTCTATTGGCTCACGAATGAAAACAATACTGTATTGCGTCGAAAAGAGTATATGCACGATGATAAAGCTTCATTTATCTGGAGCAGAGGGAGTTTCGTGAAGTGTATTGATAAGAGATTTTCTCTCTACATTTATATAAAACAAAAGTTATCAATAAAATTAAAGTTTTTAGTGTATAATAGCACTCAGTGTTCAAAGTGTAATTATATTCTATAGGAGAAAAATGATTGATTTCTTTGTGGATTTTTGTAAGAATTTCATGAAAAATTAGTGATAAAATATTTAATTATAAAAACTTGCCGAGTTTTTAAAAATATTTCTCGTTTTACTAAATTATATAGAAACTAACGAATACGCTTATTATTTCGCACATAAAATCAACATGGTGTGGAAATGATGGCACAGTCATGTAGAGTTTTTATAATCTGTGAAAATGTAAAAATATTTCTTTCGTTAATTAAAAAAAAACTAATCAAATTTAGAATTGAATAGCTTTACGTCAGAAAATCTTATTGGGCGTTTAGGTTACAGAGTATAATCAAAAATTGAAAATTATTCAACACTATTTGAAACACATTTGAAAAAAGTTACCTTACAGCCTTTTTTGAGTAATGCTTCACAAGTAGCTTTTCCTATTCCCTGAGCGCCTCCAGTAACTAAAGCTACTCCTTGTTTTATATCCATGTCGCCTTGACCCTGCAGCTAAAGTTCATTTAACTACAGATGCCAAGTCTAGTTTATTAATAGATAATTTCGCAATATCAACGTCGGTTGTAATTGGCCACAGATTAACATAAATATAGATTTGTAGTGTATATGTGTATAATTATCGTCTATGACATGACTGGTTTCGAAGTGTATTTCTATTGAAAATATTTAGAAAATAAAGTCAAAAATCTGTTAAATATTTTATACTGAATTTAGCAATTTATTTGAAAAATTACAAAATTTCATATTATAATTTTCAAATACATAAACTTAAGGATTTTCACCATTATTCACTTCCTCTTTCGGCTTTCTAGAAAAATAAATAAAATTATTACTACTTGTAAATTTTTAGGTAATTTTTGTCACGAGATGATACGAAGTTCTTTTTCGTAAATTGATATTTTCATTCGTTTGTCTTATTTGAGAGAAGTTAAACAGTTAAAATAATTCAGGAATTTTTTAATGAGCACATTTATCTAAAATATTCAGTTCATCATTCAATGTAAAAAGAAATTGTTTGCATACAACAAACTGTAGACAAGCGGTTGGCCTACCGTTCTGGTGGCAAGTGAACAAATTTCCAGGAATTTTTCTAGGGTTATCTGTCCCGGATGTGCCTGTCCCTCACCACCGGCTGCCCCCATTTGTGGGCCTGGCCAAAATCACAACAAACATAACTTAAAAAAAAAGGTCCTCAGTGCCCACACGGTGAACAATCAACCCTCTAGAACTGCATGATGCAAGTTAATACTGTATTTGCGATATGATAAACTTGTTTAAGATATACGAACAGTTTCTATGCCGTTATTATGAGAAAAGACTTCAGAAAATGTAGTTTAAATAAGACTTAAATATCTCGAATAATAAATTTATTCAAGTATATTTTCAATGTTTTTGCTTCCTGGAACGAAATTGAGGAATGACCTGAAATTTAAATTAATCATTTTGACTGGATCGCGAGCTAAAAATCTTGAGATTAAATTTTAAAATTGCAATTTCCAAAATTTATATAAAAATTATTTAAATATTATAACTATTCGATTCAACATAGAGTTTAATTTTAAAAATTCTANAAACATACGATGATAAACGTACACCGATTAAATTGTTTGAACTCACCGAAATGTAAAAATTAAAAGAGGATGTCGTTGGGTCCTAATTATGGATAGCTCCGACAGTGAATAATGTAAAAAAACGTGTAGCTGCTTCTATTTAAAAATGTTTTGTTATTCATTTTGCGTCAATTTCAATATTTGTTTGTTTTGAAGAGAAATAAAATATATTTTAACTCTTACATATTAAATATTTATTTTACATCTTTGTTAAGTATCTGTATAAGAGTATGTTTATGCATAAGTAAACTGTATGTGAGCCGCTCATTTGCCAAAACGATAAGTTCATAAAAGAAAAGGTAGAAAATATGCATTGATAAATTTTTATACATTTCTTGTGAAAAAAAAACATTTCTTATTCAACGGCCATAAAAATTATTTCTATGAATGATGTCTCCAAAGTTCAGCGAATTTTTCGCAGAAAAATAACTTATCAGAAAACTTTCGTCATTGCTTAAGCTTACGTTGTCGAACGGTACACACTCGGTAAGTAATCCTACAATTTCTTGTCTATAGCATAGTTTATATGAATTATTCTCAAAAAATTATACGTATTTTGGAAATGTCGAGTCAAATTAGTCTAGAATTGATTAATTTTATGGAAGAAAACCTATCAAACAGCCGTAGTCCCTAAACTGCACACGTGTCGGGCTGTGATTGGCTCATGTATTTAAGTGACTCGTACAACACGGAAATCACATAACACGGAACGTATCTACCGTGTTATAGGGGGGGTCGACTGTACTTTTTTGTTTTACGGATATAATACAATACAAATAAAGAAGTAGAAGGCCGTACCGTAGGCTAAGCCTTTGAAAAGAAGGAATGGGATAGGAAAGAGGAAGAGGTGGGAAGTGGAAGGGGGAAAGGTAGATAGGATAGTGGGAAGCGAATCTCGTGAGCAACAACCAGTTTCCGATGATTGAGTAACAAAGTTATCCACACAAGATGGGTCGCAGCCCATTTGGATACAGAATTTGATTTCTCAACAAAGAACAAAAAAAATATTGACACAGTAAAACACGCGACAATGTTTACAGACAAGACGTGTGGCAAGCTGAGGACTCCGCAGCTGAACGTAACAAACAATGCGAGTGCCAGAACAGTATACATGGATGCACGTGGACACTTCAACGGCACGCGATAAAAGGCAAATGGACGAACATGACGCGCGCTAGAAGTTTCCTTTTATCCCTTTTCCCTTTTATTTTTCCTTTTCCCCTTCCCCCATAAGTATTTATATATGAACATTTGTTTGTAAGCCGAAAGGCTTACAAACAAATGCGGAACAAACACACGCGACTAAGTCTGCAAACAGCACAGAACAAAACTGGCAGTACATTACGCCAGCTCACAACAAGGCAGAAGCGCAGGAAGCAACGAGGCTAGTCTTCTCCCTTGTGGTCTTCGCGCGAAGATACGGCTTCTAGTGACGAGGTTGATTACTCGACAACTGGAGTTCCACTACGGTAAAAGTCTGGCAGGGTGACTCCTGTCTGTTTAATGAAGTTGGAGAATGCCACAAAAGTTTTTTGGTACTAAAAAAGCCCTCGCAGTTACAGGCAGTATACAGGGCCAACGATAACCCTCTGTATAAATAGTGCCAGCTAGGCGCTTCCTATGGAATTTATACTTTGGGCACAGGAAGATAATATGATGAGTAGTTTCGATGTCTAGAGTACAGTCACACTACCCGTCTCCCCTTTGGAAGAATCGGCGTAATGTACACAACTCGTTACAAGTTTCCTTGGCCTGTGACGATCTGGGTGGTGTGGAAGTCTGGAGAATAGTAGTCCATGGTCCTCCTGGCTTTAAGATTCGAATTGAAGTTATATGTGGTCCTTACCTGTTGTTTCACTGTTCCCTTTCTCGCCATTGCTGAAGACTTATGGATAGTAAGATGGCCCATCATCAAACCCGTATGGGTTCGACCACGCCCACAATGGGGCGGCCGATGGTGGGTGACGGGACCCGACATATCACTCCGAAAAATCCTGGAGTTTTTCGATTACCCGTCCGGATTCAATCCCGGGTTATCTCATAGCAGCAGGATGACTCCTTAATTTAACTGCTCGGCCATTCTAAATATTGTGAGTTCCATGTCCAAACAGTAAAATTCGCTTTTACACAATTTAATTTCAAAATTAATTTACATATTTATTTTCTTATTTTTAAACAGTAGCACTTAGTGTAAGTTTGTTTGGTTATGGCAACGCAACACTTGGGCGATCTGCCTAGGTAGATGCCTTCCGGGAGGTCTTTTTAAAACTCCACGTGGCCACCCATCCGAGCGATGCGCGAACCCACGATCGAGCTCCCAGTGTTTGGGATACGAGGACCGTTTCGCCACTGGTATGCCCCACTTAGTATAAGATAAAGCAATACAAAAAATAAACAAGTAAAACGGGGAAGAGTAAGTATGTCTCCAAGAGCACGAGCAACGCATGTGCAAATCTCGCACTCGCGCCTGTTTGTAAAAACAGTCTCAGCATTTCGTATTTTATTTTGACTCGTTCTCTGTTCCCTGACTATCTACAAGTCTGGTTTATTTTATGTGCTCATGATTTGGGCATCAGATACTCTGTGTCAAATTGCAACTCCTGACATGTATTCCTTCATACCTCTAAGGTGGGCAGCCGTTGACAGCAGCGCGATTTGAGATGAGACATAGTCTCATCAACAATATTTTCTTTTAAAAGCACATTATTAAAATATCTTCCTTAATAGAGTTGCAATAAATAATTGCGCGTTATTACTATATTATACTCATTAACTTTATTAATCATGCTACTTGTCTACAATTTAATAAGCATTAATTAGAAACTTTTTAACATTTGCATTACTACATCACATTGAACATTAATAAAACATCTCTGCTTCAGGCATCGGCACATAAGTGTTTTCTTTCCCTCCGATAACGGTCATAACTGCACCATTCTTACCATCTTCAAGAAGTTGTATTATTGCTTCTGCTATAGCACTGGGTCTAAAAGTATAAATTAAAATAACAGATCAATTTACGTTTAACACCATTAGAAGTCTTTAAGGTTATACATTTAACACCATTAGAAGTCTTTAAGAAATAAGATTTTGTCGCTTTGTTTTTGTTAAGTTACGGTAACGCAACACTCGGGCAATGCCTTCCGGGAGGTCTTTTTAATTAAGGGTGACTGGCCCCTATTCAGGCATTACAGACGTGGAAAAACCTCGGAAAACTCCACGTGACCAGCCCATCCTAGTCAAGCGCGAACCCACGACCGACCTACTAGTGTTCAGGTAACGGAACCGCTTGGCCACGCTGGTGGGTCCTAGATTTTGTCGCATTTACATTACTTTAAAACCTGGAGTCTCAGCTTTTAAGGCCTATCAGCATTCGAGTGGATATAATCACTGAACACTGGTTGTGGGTTCGTGGCTTGTCAATGGGTTAGTTACGTGGAGTTTTCCGGATTTTCTTCACGTTTGTAACATCTAAATAGGTTCCAGTTCCACAAAAGTTCTCCCGGTTGGCACTCCCCTTGGCAAATCGCCCATGTTGTCGTAACAAAATAAATAAACCAAACCTAACTCCAAATATTCTGCTTCAATCACGAGACATTTTTAAAGCCAGTGCCAAAAAATAAAATAATTTTGTAACATTAGCTGTATTTCAAATTTGGCAATATACCTCTCAAACTCTTTAAAAATATTTATTGTTATAATACTTCTGTGTGTGGGAACATTCTTTGAGTCGTATAATTATAAATATAATGCTTAAGGGCCGGATGACCGAACGGCTAATATGGCATGTTAACGCTCTGGGGATCAGGAATCAAATCCGAACAGATCGAAATACCACAGAAATTTTTTAGTAGTAGTCCGTCCAGATATGTTTCGTCTCTTATCACCCGGCTGCCCCATTGTGGGCCTAGTCGAATCCATAATGGGCTTGATTTAAAAAAAAGGATCCTCTTAGTTCCCACAGGGCAGAGTTAAAAATTTTTTTTAAATGTGAATTTATGGTGTTAACTTATAAATTACAGTACCTCGTTTTATCTTTAAAATATAAACTTTCACTCTAAAAAATATTTAGAGATTTGATTTTGGTAAATATAATTGCAATTTTTTAGGCAATTTCTGCCTTTTGGGAATTAAGAGAGCTTTATTTTTAATTTTTCATGGTGAGTTCGGCCAGGCCTACAACAAGGCAACCGTAAGAAAAAGGATCACGAAAATTTCTTGTGGTTGCTGGTCTGGATTCAATCAAAGATCTTCAGAGGTGGGTTATTGATTTATAGATACTTACTTATCTATTACTGGGGTGAGGAATTGAATTCATAATGAAATGTAATTATAGATCAGTTTGAGTTTTATATAATTTGAACTAAATATTACACTTCGTAAATAATAGTTACGTACAGTAAAACCTGTGTAAACACGATCCGACGGTACCGGAATTTTTACCAGTTTGGTAGGTCCCGTTTTGAACAGGTTTTTTCAATACCGAAAATCGCTGCGTTCCGGAGAATTTTTTCCGTTTCGGTACATATTCATTTTATTAATGTTTTGTTTTGAACATGCTTTACTGCATATATTAAACAAGGACGCATTGAAGTGAAAATGAATTAAAGAATACTTACTCTAATATAATTAGATTTTTTCTAATTTTATCATACTCTTCTTCAAATGGGGTTTCATCGGTAGTCAGCCAAAACAAATCGGTGTTGATGCCAGAAGGACACACAGCAGTGAATTTAATCCCACTTTTTTGATAATGGAGTTCATGCTGCAATGTAAAATTATTATTATAATCTTTAACGTTTTACGATAATAAAAAATAATAATTGCAAAATATAGAGGAGAAGGTGGTATTATGGAACACTGCGGGTATTATGGAACACTGCGGGTATTATGGAACACTGCGGGTATTATGGAACCACCCTATTTCGAACTGAAAATAAAGGCGAACTGTAGCGGAATGTGGCTGAACTGAACTAGGCAGACATCCATAGCGAGGGGATCTGTTTAACTGAAGTAAAACCCGTTTTACTTCAGTTAAACAGTTGTCCGCATTTAATCAGCAAATTTGTTTTTTTCAAAATTCGCAAGTTTTGAATGCTAAGTGAATTTAATTATTTTTAAAATATACATCGTGTAGTTGTAGGTTCACTGGTGCATGTATTCTGTTCCAGAGACTTAGGGGTACATATTAATCTGTGTGATGTTCACGTTTTTTAAATTTTGGTCT